GTAACACCCCCGTGAGTGGCATGGAACGAACAACCCAATTATCCGGCGACAAGGTCGGGTAGCATTTTCGTTGGCCGAGCCGCGAATGCACACGCGTCAATGAAACCGCATACCGCGGATCCCTACTCGCGTATAATGATATAATTGGTCGGCGATGGTGCATCAAACATTCCAGTTCGCCAGACTAAACAAAAACTCCTCCGCAGGGAAGCTACACCGGCGGCAGACGGTAGCTAGACGATCAGACGTCGCCCATGGGGTAACTCGAAACCGCAGGGATCGGAACGATGATCACGATGGCGGCGACAGATGATCGAAGATGGGGTGGCAGCGTTACAGCATCGCGCTCGTCAGCCACTCCTGTTGCCCTTGCTTCCGGAATCACCCTTCCCTTCATCGTTTTTCGGTCACCTCGCTCGAATAAAGAGCCGCGCAAACGAATAAAAAGAAGGGGTGACAGGCGGACAGGAACTCGGTGGGGTTGCAGGCTCCGGGGCCCACGTCGCCGTCGCGACTACGTCCGATGCAATTATTTCGTAACGGTGATCTTATTATGGGGACCGCGCGTGCGAAACCCGTCGGCCCCGACACACTGTCGGGGAACCAAGACCGGAAACGGTTGAATTTTGTTTCCGATCGATTTAGCCCCGACGCGACGCGGACGCGCACAGTGGCGCAGCTGTTAAATGTATGTTCGCGCGCGAGGGAGCAACGCGGATTCACCCGGTGAGAAATCTTGATTTTTTATTGTTTCGCGCCGAGTGGGTGAGCATAAACCGCTCGCGTCGAGCTTTTTACCAGCCGCGTTAGTCGACTATGTTTGTTCGACAGCCACTCGAGGATATAAATCCGATCGGGACGATGGGATGCGTAATTCAAAAGCTCCGTTATCTCCCACATTGTTACAAATTCATCGATGAAATAGCGAATATTCACTGCTCGTCGCAGTTGTGTTGTTTTAAAAATTTGATAATTAGATTGCTTTACATATCATATATTTCCACGCAGAATAATAAAATTAAATAGTATGGAGGTAATTAGAATTATTTAGCCATGTTAGGATCTTCTAATTAAGCAGCGTGATAGGCCAAAAAGATTCTATTCCATAAAACGAGTTAGCCCCTGAGTAATCGGACGAAGACACAGCTGGGAGGAAATAAAATTGTAATCAGAATGTGGCTAGTCACCCTTGGAGATTGCTTAAAATCAAAGGGTCGCCGATGGGGACGGCCGAATCCACGATAGGGATGCCGGAGAGTTAACTCGTCCCCTTCGCGCAAGAAATTCGAGCAGACGGTCGATCAAATTTTCTATTACGTCTCGTAATTCTCACGCTAGAGTTCGTCATCTATAACGCGTTCTCCGTAATTGCATTCACGATTGGGGGGACGAATTTATCGACCGTATGATTTCAGAAAATCTTCGTATATTCCCCAGTTCGTAAAATAACGTGAGCGAGTTAAAAATTATGTGCAATAAAGTATAAGGAGCGATACTGTCGATGTCATTAATAGTGAGTAGTAGTCAGTCAAGAAAGATATAAGAAGGACAGCTACTTGTCAAACGTGTTCGTATCGATACATCAGAATCGGCACTGACAATGTTTCTGTCACGTGGTTTCTTCGACGTGTTCGCTGCGGATAAAGACCATTATGCCGACCACCCCTCTGTTCATGGCATTTTTGGTCGGTTTTGTGTTCTCTCATCGCTCTTCGGAACAATGATCGAATTTGATCATCGAACTATTACCCGACAACGGGTAAAAAATAAGCTACAAAAGAACGATGCGCTGGCACGATTCGTAAACGAACATGACGAATGTCGCTTGTTATCTGCGTATTGCTCGTTACCCTTTCTTCGATACATGCAATAGTGCCCGTTGAAAGGAAGGAGAACAGGATCGTTTGTCGAATAACGAAGGCACCGCAATTTTATTTTAAAAGCGAACGTGTTCGTCGATGGGTTTTCATTGGATAATATTTTTCCTTCGCGTTCTCCCTATTTTGCCATCGTAATTTTAATTTAAACGAGCTCAGTTTACCGTGGCAGGTACTCCTTCTCGAAACTCGTAGAGGATCATTTAGTCTCGCGCTTTCACATAATTCCACCTCATCCATTCCCTGCGTCGTTCTCGTTTAAAAAAAAATAAATAAAGCGAAACATATCATGGCATTTGCCTCGACCCATCGTTAGACTCCAAGAAAATTCCCAACTTCGTTTAAAATCATCGGATCGAGATCATTAAAACGGAGATCCTCGAAAGTGTCAGCTGCACCGTTCCCCGCCGCCACCGCATCGCGAACCACCCTTTCTGTACCTAACAACGTTGACACTGCGTAATCCCGATGAAATTTTATATTTACACAGATCCGCTAATTACGATTCCCGTTGCGTAAAAACGATCTCGCTCATTACACTCGACACAATTAATTACGCGAACGGTTGCGAATCGGGAGTAGGAAAGAGAATGGAAATTTGTACATACGCTCGCCCTTTTTCCCGTCCAACCATACGTTCAATCGGCCCACCGTCCATTTCTCTCTTCCCCTCTCTATCTTTATTTCGTCCTTTTTTATTTTACTCTCTCTCTCTCTCTTTCTCTCTCTTCACAGTGTTTATTGGCCATGGAACGCCGCCGGTGGAAACGAACGCAGAACAATATTTCTCGGTGGCGGCGCGTCGGCTGCCGATAAATACGGAGTTCGCGCGTATAGCGAGGAGCACCCTACCGGTTTTGCGGTATCTCGAACGGCTTAATGGCACTGTTAACTGCCGTATTATTTAACGGGGATTTATGCATCGCAGTCGGCCGATTAAAACGGCGACCGGTCCCGGGGGCGGAGGCGGGATACCGGGGCAGCGATATAGGAAGATGCGGACACCGCAGGGGATGAAGCGTATCCTTAATTCCTCGTGAAATCCGGTGCTGATCGAGGCGGTTGATTCTACGATCGGAACTAAATGCAAATGGAGCGCACATTTAAGGCTAAACTAAATCGTATGAATTTGTATGCATTATCGTTAACAATAACAGTTCACAGATGACGTTTCATTTATTCTTCTGCATTAATTATAACGTTTGTTAAGAATTTCATGAATTTCGTATCAAAGTACTTGTCGCTGGCACTTGTTTCTTAGCATGAATCCTGGAACACATCGAGTGTCTGAAGTCTAGTCATTCGTAAGGGAGCTAAATTTCAAGCAAGTACGAGAACGTCGCAAGAACGGAAACGATTCCGAGGTCGCAAGGTAACACCTCGATGGCAGGAGAGGTTCGTCGTGGAAGACGGCCGCCTCGTGCGTTATCCACGTCACGATCGTTGCCAATGGGTTCTCGGATCCAGCGGCGATGCTATTGAGGATTTGCATCTCTCGCCTTCCGCGGCGAATGCGAGAGAGGAAGCTGGTGCTCTCGTGAGCTGGTGCGACGGGAACGATGGGAAATCCGGTCGGGGGCATATAGGTATGCTCGCGGATGGCCGAGTGCGACGAGGAGCGTGAAAGTGCAGGCAGAACGATAGCGGCAAATGGTACAGGACAGAGGATAGGAACGAAGAAAGAGAAAATGAGAAGGAGAGAGAGCGAGAGAGCAACGAGAGAAACGGAGCATGGTCGATGTGTCTAGCCTAGCCCGGTTGGCTGGCTGGCTGGCTGGTTGGCTGGTTGGTTCGGGTAGCTGGATGAACCAGGGACCGTCTAGGTTGCGTCTGCCCCGCACAAACTCGGTATTATCTATACGTCTAGACACCCCTGCGCCACCGAGAGAAGACCATAGCGGTTTGGCGCTCCGCTTGTAATTTACAGCGCGCCCCGCCGTGTCTCTACATCTACGATCCCGCAAATTTCTCTCCCTGGTTGTCTCCCTTTCTCGTCGTCTTCTTCCCTCTGTCTCTGGCTATCTTTCCATTTTTTCCCTTCGTGCGTCCCTTCTCTCTGCCCTTACCTTTCACCCAACTCTTTCCACGCCTGCCCGATTGACCTCTGTTCCCATCTCTTCGCATGAACCCAGATACACGCTCATCCGTGGCAAGTGTTGTCCCTTTAGATCGCTCCAATAACCGCTCGCCACTTAGTAGAGCACTGGATCATCCGTGCACCAGCATCAGAGTCCCTAATAGTCGACTGACGATGCAACGTACCCGGCCTTGAAGGAATCGTCGTCGATCGGAACGGAAAAACGGGACAAGCACGAACAAATAGTCGAACACGGATCGTGGAATTCCTCGATACACGGGATGTCGATGGTGATGAAGTCGCGTGCGTGACGCGCCACTTCAGATATCGCCAGCGTGCGAGCGATCGAGGGGATCACAGGTCTCGTGAAAAGGGAAGCAGCCAGTCAATTGGTATACACGGTGTAGAGACGGGTCACACGTGAAGAGAGTGCGAATATCAGTATCGTGATAACGAGCGGAGAACCCTCGCGTGTCCGAAAGTACGGAGACAACCCCGAGTGTGTGCATGTTACACCCAAACACGTGTGCGCTTATATCGACGATCTCTCGGTGATTAATGCCAGCCGTTAGTACCAGGAGGCTCCAGTCAATTGAATTCCCGTCGTTCGACTGCGCGAACCTCGCTCCGTTACCTTTATCCGCTCTCGATACGCGATCCACTTCGACATTCCCGAACCGGAGTCCCACCGTCGACCCGTAAATAATAGATCCAATGCAATCGCCTTACCCTGTCGGGGGTGAAAAGAGAAGCGCTCCGGCGGTTGTCCATTTTCGAACCTCCAGGTCGGAAAGAATAAAGTTTCCCCTGTTGGACTCCGACAGTAAAGTCCCCGGCAGGTGCACAGCACGTTAAACTTTCGAGTTTCGAGAACGCAATTTTCCCAAGGGAATCAGTCCTCGCTAATGCAAGAGTGGTTATGGAAGAAGAGAAGAGGAAGGAGGACAGGACGGTGGGACGACGGAGAGAAGCAGGGTATAAAAGGGGATGATATAAAGGGAACAGGGAGAGGGATAGAGGGAACTCTGTGCGGGTGGCAACGGCGGCGACGGAGTTTGAGGGTTGAACGAGCTGACGCTTTAAGCGATGTAAGTTACAGAAACTACGCTTCCGACCAGTCTCGGGCGCAGATTAGTCGTAATCTCGGCGCATTGCACTCTGCAGCCGTTTCCATCCCCTTCCCGTCGGTCGAGACCTCACTACTACAGAGCTTTCCGAACCGTTACCTCCTCGCCGAACCAAGACGAACGTGTTGGGCGCACCTAAATTCGCGTATGTATACACCAGGAGGTTACTGCTTCGTTCCTACGCCGCGACACAGACGGTGTATTTGCCGCTGTATCGCCGGTTTGATTATTTCCTGGAGGCTTAAGCCGCTACGTCTACGCTTTTCTGCGCGCTGGCTAAGGGTTACAACACGCGGCGAAGATTAAACGGTTCTTGGTTTATGGCTTCGTAGCCAGTCTTTAGGCTCGGTTTACCTTGGCTCAACAAGATTTTCCGTCGGTTACTTGCTTCCTACCTTTTATACGGCTGTTACTGAAAATCGATAGTTCGGTGATCGTGATCCAATGCTCGGGAATAACGCTTCAGTAGCTTAACGACGCACCACTGTGCGTGTAGTCGGTGATCGTTATTCTCAGAATATAACATAAAATACATGCAACAGCTCGTAGGTATGACGAGAACTATAGCAACGAATATTGAACAAACTCCAATCTGTTTTCGAAAGTTCTGCTTACGAGCGGTTTGGATTGTTGCTTGCATATTCTATTTCATTTTATCAATTAAAATGACGGATGAATTGCAAGAGAAGGTAGAGGGTAGAAGGAGTGACAGGAGTAATGAGAAGAATCCGATAACTTTCGATAGTATCTGGTAAAAATAGATCGCAGAAATAATGCTTAATATTCTAATTCAGTTTCGTGTGACGCAAATAAATATTTGATCAACACTCAATGACTCGTGAATTTCAGCAAGGAAGTTATATTGCGAGACAAATTGTTCCGGCGCAAGTGGCCCAAAAGATACGGACATTTGACGGGTGAATTTTTCAAGGAGGTATCACGAACCTGTCAAAAGGAAATGCGCGGTACAGTATCGACGATGTATGCACCACACGAATTTTAATGCTGCCCGGTGTCATTGACCGTAGGTGTTGGTCGAAGAATGCAGAAAGGCGGGATTTCCGGTGGACACTTTCGAACCTAAACCGCCGGAAGATACGATTAAGCGTTCACCGATTCCACTGAAACCATCGCCGGCCATTCCCAGAACGACATCCGGCACGGTGGGCCTGCGATCATCTCGACCAGAATGCAATCTCGAATTTACAGGTCTCTGGTATGTCTCACCGAAACATACGATTGAACCGCCACTAGAACCTGGTGAATTTCGCGTCACGCGTCAAAGATTCATCTATCTTGGTTGAGTGAAACAACTTTAGATCTGTTGTGAAATATTTATTTTTTACACAATCATTGTACACGGTAACAAATGTATTGAAAAATAATCTGGCTTAGCTATAAACAGCAGAATCGCGATAACGCGTTGTGGAAATTATGATCCGAAATTTCCAAAGTAGAATGTATTGCCCATGAGACATGATCATGGCTTCGCGTACAATATCCCGCTAAAAAATGCGATTTCATTTTCTTTGTCACGGTATATTTACATTCCAAACCACTTCTGTTTGAGAGTCGGTGGTAACTTCTCCGTCAGAGACGTAGGGTTCACTTCGACTGCGACCAATTCTTCGTCGTTCAACCAATCCAAGTACACAAGGTGCTATAAAGTTTACCGATAATAAATTAACTCTTGTATTCAAATTTTATGCTGCAGCAGACAATTACCTTATACTTTTTGAGAACTTGAAAAGCTTGTTGAGACTGCGAACTTAAGGCGAAGTTACTACTGTCGTCTGCAAAGTCGCCGTTTTCGCGCTTCAGAATTTTTGCATTTTTTTCCGAAAATTCGTTCGATTTGTCGATTACGTAAACGTTCGAGTCATCGTGCATTATTATAATGTTCTCGTTGCGCGGATCGAAGATTATGTTCGTTATGGGAAAAGACCGAACCAACCACTGCTTCGGTAATTTATTTTGCAAATTGTTCGAAAACTTAGTGTACTGTCTTTGCAAAATGTTGTACTCAACGATCTGAAATTAAGCGTTCGACGATAAAGCTGGTAATACGATGGTCGATAAAACGTGTAACTTTATAGTTTTTAATTTTCTGCGTAGTATTAAACGAGAGTTATGAGAGTAATTTATTGCAAGTTTCACGGAAGTTGGGAGGCATAGGTCATAGAAAACTCATATGCCTTTTTATAGACGACGTAATTGCTGTTAACTGATCGTTCCAGAAGAGCGGGTAAGCGGGACTTTAATGTCTCAGGATTTTAAAAATCCTTACTATATTACGGTACAAAATGAATTCCTTACAATTTCTTACCTTGTGATCTGAATATACAATTACTAAATTTAAAGTATCTTTCTGGATGGCCATGGCTGTCGGTGGGCAACTGTATTTGGGCAACAACCATGCCGCAGGTGAATCAGAACTTGTGATCTCGCTAATATTATAGACTGCAATGCTACCTTTACGATCGGCGCAAACTAAAAATTTGCTATCAGGAGAAAAACATACAAGACCAACATTTATAATGGTTTCCCTGTTCGTGTGAAAATAACCAAGATGCCTTAAATGCTTTTTTTCAACATTATATAACGTCACAGCGTTTTTTCTTCCATCGTTATTTATTGTTACAAATAATTTTCCATTCGGACTAAATAACATTTTTTGTATCCTAGTAGCAGGAATGTCAGTGCCGTTCCTTGATAACTGTCTGTCACCTTCAACCACATCAAAATTAAAAACTCTAAGGTGGCTGTCCGTTGAATAAACGATTGTCTTCGAGTCTTTGTTAATTGCGCACGAGATAATATTTTCGTCCCTTTTCGTTTTCAATTGCAACAATTTTATGGGTTCTTCTTCTAACTGATGAAGCATACCAGGACGAATTGATTCTGGAGGTGGTTTAGTGGATGAACCGAGTCTCCACAACTCAAGATAATTTGGATATCTTAAAAAAATACATCTCGATTTCCTACAAACAGCAGCACATGGTGGCTGAAGTAATGGTGGATATTTAACTAACACTTTTGGCGGGTAACTCGATTGGGCTAGATATCCATCTACGCCAGCTGAATATAATTTTCCATCTGCCTCTACCAAAGCTCTTACATCATGAGCATGCAATCTTCTTTCAATACCTTTTACCCACTGTGGTCTACCACTAGATTTTACGATTATTTTACAAAAACTTCTTACTACAGGATCAACGCCAGCACAATAGACAGTATTCATATCATGGGACAAGGTGACAGCTAATATATCGGCTGTATGACTTTCATGGGATTCAATTAATGTTCCCATATGAGGATCCCAAAATGATAAACATCCTCTGGAATCTCCAGAAATTATAACATTATCATCAGTGACTTCTAAACACCAAATAATGGTTTCTTTCTTTGCTTCTTTTCTAGAAGTTGTCATTTTATGAATCGCATGACCTGATATGGCATTCCAAACTCTAATCGTATCAGTTGAACCTGTATAAATCATCTCCCCAGTGTTGTCCCATTTAATACAAAGGATTCTACCTTTTTGTTTATCAAATATCCTCTCATATACTAATGCATCAGAAGTAACAATAAATGTATTGATATATCCATCTTCTGTACCAACAGCTAAAGATGTTTTGTTACGATTAACATCCATACACCAAGCTGCACCTCCAGTTACTGCTGCTTCACTTTTAATAGTCAACATTGTTAAATCATATTCTGCTATCATGCCATGAAGACCAGTAGAAAACAACCTTGGACCAATCCAAAGGATGCTCTCTATAGAATTTGCCGCATGACCAGGTATTGTGTACTCCACAAAAGGAGCATTTCCAACATTCCAAACTTCAATCGAATTATCATTCCTGTATGAATATAATCAGAACTATTAATATAACAGGAAGTGAGAATTTAATGCAAATGTTTACTGTAAACTAACCTTGCAAGTGCTAGCTTTTTCGTCTTACATTCATACGATATACAAGTAACAGACCGGGGTTCAAGATTATAAAATCTGATATTATGTATTTTACAAGTTGACATGGTTCATTTAATTTTTATGGTACTCTTACAGTAATAAATTGTTAATATAATCATACCAGCTATACTGTACACTAGGAAACATAACCACAACTGTCACGCACGTGGAGTCTACAAAGACGATCGTGCTACAAAGTGATTCTTTCCAGTTTCTTATGTTGGTATTATTACAGCCTACTTTTTATTACCTAGCCATGTTGAGAATAAAATGGCAACACCGCGGGAGTCTGGCTTTTGTGTAGTGGCTCAAACCAAAACAGAGCTGTTTTCTCCTTCCGCTTTTGGTCCATGGAAAGAGCTGTGTTTAGCGGTTGAATTGCGAAACACTGACGAACAAATAAACATAACCTCTTTAGTTTTGTTTGCATTCATATACCGAGCTTGTACGTGAGTGTCAAAGACAGCTGTCAAAACGATAAATATGACCTCAGAAACTCCCTTGGGTCTAGAAACCGACGCAAAAGATGTTGCCACGCTGTCTGAATTATTCGACAAGGCATTCGAATTGTTCAACGACTTAAATAAAACTCACGAGCCGACGAATAGTCCAAAAGTCCAGGTATTAACTGATAAAAATCATATTGTTTCGTTCACCATTAGACTCTTCAAGAAGACTACGGAAACTTTCAAGCACACGTAGCTTATTTTGCTTCGCTCTTATACTAATATATCTTTTCCTATTTTTCTACTACTAGTCTGATATTAAACGAGCTATGAGCATGTTGGAGGAAGCCACAAAATTAGTATCAATAGTCGACATGTTTAGTCAAAACGAAACTTTCGACGAAGTGGCTACGGAAAATATCAAATATTTTTTATTGCCAGTCTTCCTTGGTATGCTCGCAACAAAAATTTGTAACACGGACGACAGAATGCATGTCGTTAACGTCGCCGAGATTTATTTCATTGACTTTCTGAAACGCGTGAAAGCTTACGGTCTAACCGATATCGAAGTACCAGAGATTAAAACAGAAACTGAGACAGAGAGTGCGCCTGGAAAAGTTCGAACGAACGCAGAGTTGATCACCGAAATGGTAAGTTAGTTCCCAGGTTCTTAAGTATCTAAAAGAAATAATGTCTGTGAATATTGGAAGATGTTGTTTTACAGGTGAACCGGAGGAACACGAAATTGCAGAGGTACAAAGAACAGAAAGAGTTGGAATCGCGTTTGGAAGTATTGAGAAAGCATCTGTCCGACCCAAACATCGATGACGAAGTTAAAAGGGATTATTTTGTGACGCTTATCAGATTGTATGTGAATTTGACGATCGAGGAATTAAGCTCGTTAGCTGCGGAGAAACCGATCTTAGAACACATGAAAAGGATGGGAAAAACCGAGATGATGTCCGGTCAGGTGTCGCAAAAGCGGAAACCGGCTCCGCCGACACTACAGCCTATTATTATTACACGGGACGATGTGCAAAAGAAAGTCTTTGGAGCTGGTTATCCTAGTCTACCCGTTATGACTGTTCAAGAATTTTATGATCAGCGAGTAAAAGATGGCGAGTGAGTAAAATAGTAATATATAGTAGAATAACTAGTCTTATTGTTAGGATAATCGCGATTTAACAATTTTCATAAATAAATACGTTTTAGTTGGCCGGATCCTGCACAGCAACATGAAGCAAACGCAAAGTGCTTGCAAGATATGGTAAACAATCAAGGGGCTGATGATGAGCAAGAAATAATTCAGAAGGAAAGTATGATTGAATCCGATGACCCAGAGATGTTAAAACGATTACGTAACATGGACGAGTATAAAGATACTCACAGAAGAGGATGGGGTAATCGTGCAAATAGAAGTTGAACAGGAAAAAATTGTTTACACTATGAATGCGATAGTTATCAGTTTCTTACAATGTATCTACCAATTTCCTGACTCATGTTACATCGTCACTTCCTGTATATTACCCTTTACTGAACTACTGTATCGTTGAAAATTATATTTACACAAGAACACTTGGATGAATAAACAAAAGAAAATTGTGTGTTTAAAAAAGAAGTTGTTTTTTGTTTACTCATTGATTCCATTAAAGTGTTTAGTGTGAACGTTATACGAGAGCGATTATCTATATATCGATAACCATTGATGATTTCGAATCAACTGATATGATGCGATTACGTGGAAGATAATCGCATTCGGTTACTTGTTTACTTACACTTAATTCGAAACTGAAAATGATCCGTGGAATGAAATCGAATAAGACAAATTACGAGTTATAAAGAAAACTAGATGGCGTGAACGCGTAAACTAAAATGGGATGAGCGGCGCAGGTGTCAACTCGAAAACGGCAAGGTAGGTTGTAATATGTAACTTACTACATCAAACGTGAGTCAGTGTGCAAGCGTACAGGTGGGAGTCATATGCGTCAGCAACAGGTTGTCAAGTCGCGAGAACACGTTCTCGCCTTTTCTATTTTCGATGTAAGTTAAATCCGAACGAACGGGAGCGATGCGAAGACGCGGAAATTCGTTCGTTCATGTTTCGAGTTATTTAGATTCCTTTTCGCCGTGTTTGTCAACGCGATTCGACGTGACGAGTTCGACGCTATTCAGGATCTTGTTGACGCGATGAGTGCGATCCGTACCGAATGTAATTAGTTCTTGGAAACGGCAAATAATCAGTAAATATTTATTCGCGCACGCATCATGAATCCTAGTTAACTCTAAAGCAAAAATATCTAATCATGGATCGATTAGTGTAAAGTGATTCTTTCCTTTTGCGTTCTTCCCAAGATTTCTGCAACGTCAACCATCAACGGTGTTTAGACTTTATTTTGGGATCGGAGCGTGAGCAATGGTACGGCATTCACGGACCGAGTCTGTGCACGAATGTACATACTTCATTCACGAATAACTTACCGCGGTTCGCGTGCGAGGTTTCTGCGCCGCAGCAACAAGGTTAGACGCTTACGTTTAAATACCGCAAAAACTTTTATCTATAGAACCATTCCGTGCACGTGCCTATGTTTGCGTTTCCTTCATCTGACAAGCTTCATAAGGGAATATATTTCACGCAAGGTAGGGAGTCCGTTTGCTTGCGTCGCATACCGTTTCCTTTCGACACTCGCCGTGTTCGAACGTGTCAGCGTTATTTCCTCAGGCAGCGTGTATGTTAATTCGATTTGTGTCCTACTTTGAAAAACAGATTACGAGTTTCTTCTGATATGATCGATGTCACACGTCTGAATCGTCGCGAACAAAATCACAGAATTCTCTCGTTAAGCTTTTTCAATATTTTACGCGCGCGTTAATTACCATATATCGTTTGTTTCACTTTCAGTTAAAACGGAATTAAACAATTTAAAAATAATAAATCAACCGGAAAAGTGTATGCGACGACGCAAGTTTGAGAATCATGGAGAGGTCAGTTACATACATAGAAGGTGACAATCACCTTCGGGACTACTGGGAGGAATATCAAAAACTGATGGAAGAAACTAAATTGCTAGATGACTACCTTGACGAGGAATGTCCACAAACCTACGATGGTATTTTTCTACAGTTTATCTTTACAACTGATAGTAAAGTTTTTGCAATTAAATAAATTGTATATGACGTAATTTATCGTAATCTGTATTGATGATTAAAGATGGTGAAGAAGAAGCTGAATGGTTACGTACAGCTGGTCTGGGACAGTTAACAGAAGCATGGAAGGCTGGCAGGGAAGTTCAACCGGAAGAATTGGGTGCGGCATTGCGGCCTTTGTCGCGAGCGCAAGCAGAAGCAGTGAAGCGTCGCGTTAAGTCGCTTAATCATACGGTGAAACAGCGCTTTAATCAACGCCAACGCGTTCGTAAACCAGATATCAGAGACGTCTTTAAAGATGTAGAGGTAGGGAGTATGAATCGTAATCGAGATAACTGCAAAAATGTGCAGCGAATTATAAACCGTATTACGTTGATCGTTAGGCATCGAGTACTGGCACGCGATCACGTAGCGCTACGCCCGATTCCTTGGACTCTACGACAAGCGCGACGCCAGAGAATGCCTCGCCTCCATCACCGACGACGGTTCCAGATATTGACGCGCATCACGCAAAGTAGGTCCTTACCATTGCAAACTTCTTTGATAATCATTCGTTAATGGAGTTTAATCGTTTACTACCGTTTAAAGTATCACCGTTCCAAACTTCGTGTCGGTGTTTCAACAACTGCCGAGCGAAGGTAAAGAAACGGTACGCAGAACACCGAGTGCTCCGTCGACGACAACGGACAGGGTGCCGGGCCCGCCGGCAACTCCGTTTCCTGTTCAAGAAATTTTCAGGCGAGCTGGAAACTGGTTACGAGGAGATGTTGCCAGTGATTCAGGTACCGACCACCAATACAAACCTTCTAACTCGTATTTAAATGCAATTATAAATTAAACTTTAATTTGCAGAAGGAATACAGCTGACGGGCTATCACAGGCTGGGAACGATACATGTTTCGAAACCCATGATACAAAGACGAAGCGGAAGCGACCCTAGCGAAGTCGGAAATGCGACGGGCACAGAACAGTTAAATTCTTCCAAGGATTCTACATTGAGGTGAGCTTGCAAATTCTAAATTATTGTGTCAAATAGCAAGGTATCATAGAATGCTCGTGATATTTTAGAAGGAACTCTGGTAGCCATGCGACCGTAACGCGAAGTCATAGCAGTCTATACGGATTGACGAGGCCAGCCGATGAAGGTCTGATAACGCATCCACTGAATCGGACGTCCTCTCATGGTCACTTGAGCTTCGAGGAAATGTGCAGGACGAACGAAATCATGACGCAAATACATAGGAAATCGGATGCTCTTGTTTCGGCTGATGATGCACAGAGTCGACTCGGAGTAGAAATGCTGACACAGCGAGATTGGACTAGGTTACAGCCGCTCTTGTGGCTCGAATTGACCGCGGTGTTCGACAAATACAGCGTACCATTGAAGAAACGTAACCCGAACAAGCGTCGAACAAAAGGTTGGCACTTACGTCTAAAATTAAAAATAATTTGAAAATCGGTGGTCCAACATCGTTGCTTTCGTAGCTGGAAACTTGTTTGGCGTCTCGCTATCGACCCTCTTACTTCGGGATAGTCAATTAACGTCCGAGGAGAGCAACATCCCGTTAGTGTTCCAAAAAGTGCTTAACGAATTAACCAGGCGCGGTGTGAAAGAAGAGGGCATCCTTCGCGTTGGAGGACACAAGCAAAAAGTAATTGTGAACTTCCATATAAAAATGGATATACTATACGCCTTTCTGATTAAAACAATGTTGTTATCATACGTAGGTTGAATCGATATGCGTCCAGCTGGAAATGGACTTCTACTCCAAGCCCAGGGAAATTGATAGATTGTTCAAACGCATGTCCTGTCACGATTTATCTGCAGTATTAAAAAGATTGTTGCGCGACCTCCCGCAACCGCTACTCACCGTTGAACTTATAGATGCTTTCTACCAAAGTCATGGTAGGTAAATTCGATGGATACGCGTGTCCGATATATTCTTAATGTATTTTATTAAATAGAAATTGGTTTTCACTTTCCATTCTTTTAAATTCAGGTGTGAAGAACCGACAGGAATTATCGTACGCTTTAAATTTACTGGTGCTACTGTTACCGATAGAACATCGTTGTACATTGAAAGCGTTGGTAAAGTTCTTCAAGCTGGTTATAGAGAATCAATCGTCGAATAAAATGTCGATCCACAACGTGGCGATGATAGTGGCACCGTCGTTGTTTCCGCCGCGGTACATTCATCCCCGGGATCATTCCGATCTAACGGCTCAAGTAAACATGGCTGCCATATGCTGTCAAGTGACGGAAGCTCTCCTCGTAAACTCGGATAAATTATGGTACGTACCGAAGGATCTTTTAAATCAGTTGCATAGACATTCCGAGGAGGAGCGGTATCGCAAGTACAAAAAGAAATACTACTGACTTTCGTTCTCGTTCCAATCAGTTTGTTACATTCTGATGTTGAAGTCTCGAGAACGAAGTTGATCCCTTCGTGTAATAATTCGGTCAACGGGTGAACGATTGTTGAGATAACTTTTTTTACCAATCACATAGATTAGATTAACTTTGAACGTAACGCATAGGTATTCGTAGCGCAATAATTCGAGCTGCGAGAGTATGGTGCGATTAGTTTTACCGATTTCATGCGTATCTCTTGAGGTGCAATATAGACGGAGGTGCAGACTTTTTGATCCGTTCATAGGAGTAATAATATTTGTAAAGAAAATTTTACTCTTTTGACTTTTGAATTTGCTCATCGAAGCCGAACTTAAGTTCGCTGGTGCCACGCTAGTCGATATGAAAAGGACACGCGGATGATTGAGAGAAAATCTCGCAGATCGTAGCGCGCTGCAGCGCGATGGCGCGAGTTACCTTCCAAACGGTGTATCTAGTTTATTACTAACGATTACGCGAAGCGTGCGCTCGACCGTGGAGAACCTCCGCGGTTCGTAGGATAGGACGTATACTTCTCGTTTATTTTTTTAAACATTTTTCTCTTTTTTTTACCTGTCAACATGAACCGACAATTTATCGTACTCGTGTTTACTGTATGCGAAGTCAACGAGCGAAACGAGGGGCGGTGGTCAGACGGTCGAAACTATTTGTTCCGCAGCCTCTTGTTTCCACCTTTATATCGTGTTTTACGATACGCCATATTACTGTAAGCGATTGTACATATTATATAAATTTGTTACATTTATGTCAATAAAGTGCCAAAGAAAACAAGAATCGATTCCTTTTTATTTCACGCTTTCTACTTTACCCAATCCTTGCCACTTGCCAAATGTGCGGAATGTCTAAAATCAGCTAGGTAAAAAGTGTGTACAACGTCAAACTCGTGGGTAGTGGATGATAGATGGAAGTGGAATACAGAGGAGGGACAAGCAGGCTACGCTACCGTGACTAGATTTTCTTACGAGTCGAAGTCACGCCGACGAATCAGCGTACGCTGGCTATCACTTTTTCGAGATTCACGTCGCCGATGATAGGCGCGAATAAATCTGCGGCAAGTTCTCGGGGACAGAAAGCCGTTAGAACGGGAAGAACGAGCATCAGTTTGATCGTTCTAGCCGAGGATTGGTTTCGATTTGCTAAGTGACGTGCCAGAGTCTCCACCGCGATGTCCGTTGCCCGCGCCATCAGCCGGAAACTGTTCATCGTTTCGGCGATCTCTGCATATCCAAGACAAGTTATAAGCCAGGATGCAGACTAGCAAACGATTACAAATCTGTCTGCTATTTTCAATTACAAGAATGAGAACAGACTGAGGCACAGACTGAATCAATAAAAATTATCATGCATATAAAGTATTTGATTTTGTTAGGTATTTTATATGAATTTCGTACTTGATAGAACTTTGAATTAATGCATCGATATATTTTAATAACAATTTATTCGTTCTCTCAGTCTTTTAATAGAATCAGTAAATGTTATGTTGGTTTAAATAATAATTCATATTGATTCGAGTGTTTGTCTGCATCGAGTCTTAAAAAAAGGGAGGATACTATGGAAAAAGAACACCAGGAAAGGGTGAGCATTTTGCAAAAGATTATATAGAACATGCAATTACCGGGTCGGCAGAGAAGCAAGGTTTCTAGAATAGAGAATTCGACTGGATCAGGACGTATGGTAGAGATGATATTTCTTGCGGCGGATATAACGTCAGCGCGTTCGTGTATAACGTCAGCGGTGTTAGTTTTCCAGAAAATGGCCAAGTCGATTGGCCAAACAGCGGCTCGCAGGACAAACGCCGCTGCCCATCCTCTCCGGAGGATTCTATTCTGCTCGTCCAGAGCCAACATCGAGAATTCCCGATGCTGTCGAGCTGCTCGCACCGTCGCGAGAAATATCTGAGCCGCGATTTCGTATTTCATCGTGTCTCCTGGAAAGAATCCCGCGTCCAACTACCGTCGATTGATTTCTTTCACACAGTAAAACGTGCATCGTTGTTTTTAGTTGCAATTAGACCGCGGATTTTATGCTTTTATAGAGAAAATTAATAAACTCATTATTATGCCAATTATTGTAAGCCACATAACGATTTTTTACAGCTCGACAATTTCTTTTGCGTAAAAGCACTTTAATTAGATGAATATTGCACTGCACTCGGAATTTTATTCTACGATATCGCGATGCGTGAATCGTTGTGTGAAAGAACTGGAGAACGTAAAGAATGAAAAGAATTACCAGCAGTTAGGATCTTAACTGGCCGAGGAAGGTAAGGAAAAGTGCTGCCGGTCGCGTGGTACCGCGTCGTTAACGCGTTTGCACACATCGTCGGCTTTGGTGCCGCGATTTCCGACTCGAAAGTGGAGATCGGTAGCGGCGGCGAAAAAGCTCGTCGGAAACCGCGAGCGACGGCTGTGAGATTCCTTTGGACTCGTGGTCCTCTCTCTTCTTGAACGGCTGAATAAAAATTAAGTAAACAGACGCGCTTCCGACTATTGGGAAATCGCGAGTTTCCTAATGTTAATCTATATCTCTAATTTTATTTTTACGCAACATGCGTGTAAAATTTATTTTCCTATTATCGTGCGCAAAGAACCACTTTCCCGCACGCTGAGAAAAGGGTGAATGTTGCTGAGGATGAATATTTCTGAGCGTTAATTTGTTTACATCGCGTTTAGCCTCGTTCAGTAAACTTGTCAAAACTTGTGTTCCGTATTTTCCTCCCTGTATTTCCTTAGTACGGCCACGAATCACTGATGAAAATAATAGAAATATACTTAA